GTTTTTAATAGAAAAGTCTATTTGTCTTTATCACGCGTGACATCGATAACTAGTGATTGAATAATTTGTTTCGTTGAAAGTTCCAACTCTCTCCTTTTTGTTACGTTAAATAAATTTTAAATTGCTGTAAATTAATTAAAAGTCGCAGTCACCGAGGCAATGAAGTATGTCCGTTGCCAACTTAATTTAGGCAGTTCTTAACTTTCAGATTAGGTATGTTAAAAATTGAAACAAAGGCAATTTGAATCGGATATGACCCCATTCCATTACATAATATATGCTTTTTCTAATACCTTTATTCACGTGCTTACGCAACGGGTTTCGTGCGATTTAACAGTTTTAATAATGTAAAAAGCAGCTAATTTATTTGCTCCATAAACACAATTTATCGAGAAAATCTTGATAAAGTTAGAGTTAATATAAGAGGAACACGAACAATTTTAATACACGACGGTTCTTGCAAGTTTTACACGAGTACCTAATCATATTTTTTTACTTTGATCGAAATTATCTTAACAAGTAAAGTAGATCATAAGATCATTCAGATTTCGACATCGAATATTCAATGTCATATATTCATTTATAATTCTCTACCTAATAAAAAATAATTATATAATAGAAATAAAAGAATATGTTATTCAAGGTGTAAAAGCTCTAAAGTAGACACACGTATATTATGTAAAGAGATATTTTAGGTTTTTACATTTTTCTAAATTCGGTTATGAATATTTTACAAAAAAAAAAAAAGAATAGAAATACGATGCAATTTTCGCAATTCGGCAATGCGATCATCGTTTATATCATCTTCCAGTTTAGAAAAAGGTAAGTGACGGATAATCCTGCAGTGCAATATGTAAATTTTACGGTCGCGATCGATAGTTTCGATAACTTTGGAGATAATGTATGCATGGTGTAATCCGGATTTTGCAGGACAACAAACTCCGGTGTCGATATCTCGAAACAATAGCCGATAAAAAAAGAATACAATCGGGCGAGTAACCGAAAAACTTCGGTAAATCTCCCCCCTCCCCTCCGTGTGTATCGATCTTGACGATTCTCCCTCCGCGGTCAAGGGGAGGAATAAGCGATTGGCCTGCGTAGGAGTGCTTTATTAACGGATCGATATAGGGGTCGCGGTTTCTGCGGGGAAGTTGTACGCTGTCACCCACGAATCACGTTCAAGCATCTTGATCTCTCGCATTCCACTGTTTGCGGCAGCAATTGCTGTATCAGCATACGTTGCCTCTATCCGAGAAACATCTAACTTCATTCTGTTTTCCTCATTAAACGTGTATTCATGTATTTCACAAAGAAGAGACACGAAAAGAAATTACTCTGTAACTTTTTTTCTTTTTTATTCGAATAAATTATTCTGTCATGGCGCACTTTAAATACTGACGCAATTATATTTTTTAAAACAGACATATTTAAGAAACATATATATTTAAGGTACATGAACAATTTTTGAATTTTTAACGCATTGTTGCATATGTTTGTTACGAACGATGTATTATAGAAACGGACTGATACACATATGTGACACGTGATATCGAAAGCGTTGATCTTTTTATCTTATTGAAATGTATTAAAACGCTCCAACATACGCATTCTATTCGTTTATCTCAATTACAAAATGATATCGATGAGATATACATATAGGCAATCGAAATATAAAGATCGAATAAATTTTGATGGATTTTTCATCAAAATTTAATCCTTATAAATCTTCAATTTCTTTTTTAATAAATTCGAAAAAATATTCTTGTATTGAAAATATTCTTGCTTGTTTTAAATAGCTGGAAATATATTTATATAATACAATTATAAATAATGTATTATATCATTTATGGAAATATATTTATATAATACATTATAAATAATGTATTATATTATTTTAATGCAAAAGACTTGCTCGATTCTAATTCTAAGAATAATATTAAATAAAATAATCAAGAAATGCAACTTTAAAAATAAAAGATAAAGTTACATCTGTGTCTCATTAGATCCCCTTAAGAAAATACACACTCGATGCATGCTCTAAATCTTCTTGTATCTCTTCTCGGTATACATACAATGTTCCGTACCGCGTACTTTATCTGACACACACACACACACACACAAAAGGCTTCAAGCAATCCGCCAAACCTAATATTATTATTAAAACGGAAGCCTCCCGACGGCCTCCCTGACTTCTCCGGCGAATTAAATGGGTTCGCGGGATTCGAGATAGTAATTCCGTAGGAATCCGCGGATTAGCGTGTCGGTTAACTCTCGTGTACTCGCGGGTATACCTACATACCGTTACGGTATCACCCCGATTCCGGAGCGCCGCTTTTTCCGCCGATCTCTCGAGGGACGCGCTCTCGCAAGAGGAGCCGACCGACCCACATCCGGAGCGACCGTCCATAAAACACGTTTACGACAACACGCGCATCGTTCGTCGTTATCCCCGGGAGAGCCGCAAAAAAAAAAAACACCCCCGGCGGAACGCTCCCCACCCTCCCCCTAACATTAACACGTCGCGTTACCGTTATCGCGAAACATATTCCGTGAATTATCCTTCCTCGTTCCCTCGGCAAATTACGAAATTGCAAGCGAAATTCTTCTCGCCGCGCGCGCCGCTGGAGTTAAAGAGAAAAATACGCGCGCGCGTTCCTTTGGCAAATAGCGGAATCGTGAACAAAGCGCGCATGCACAAGCCAGGCACCGATAAGAGTAATCTTAAATGCGTTACGCACAACATATGGGCGATAAGGCGGGCGTATAGCTATAGTGAAAAGTATATAAAAAAAGCTTTTATCTTTCGTTGCAGCACTTAACTTACGGCTCGTTGCCTAAGGAGTATCAATTTTCGACAGCTAACGAAAACAATTTCGTCAGGTACACGAGAATAACAACTTATTTTTGTCGCGGATTTTTGTTATCGCCTGAGAATCACGAATTTCGTATCAACTCCAAAAATGGTTAGTAATTTACAGCTGTCAAATTAATGAATATAGTATGACTTTAAACTAACAACTTGCGAGGGAAACGATTGGAGCAGAAAATCTAATTCCGTTTGTTAGAAACAAATATTTAATTTTCAGTCAAAGACGCTCGTTTTTGCGCTCCATTAATTCGCGTGAAAAAATATAGCTTGCAATTTTATCCTATTTTCTTCCCTCGTCTCTGTTGCAAAATTTATGGAGCGTATTCACTCTCCTTTCACCCAAACAACTTCCAACTCCCGCGCCAAAACTTTTCCGACGCGAGTTTGGACCGAGCTGCTAATGCAGAACTGACGATTCTGACCGAATCATGCTAATATTTACCGAGGCGCGATTGCGTTTACCAGAAGACGTTCCCCGGGAAGCCCTGTGCTCTCTTACTTCTCCCTCTGGAAACTAATTTTCACTCGGCGAAGAAACGACGCTTTCTTCGGTAGCCGCGCTACTCCGCGAGCAAACTCTCTGTGATGACTATAAATACTGCCATTTACACAGAGTGTCCCGGAATCACCGGACGATGGAAAAACGGCATCTCGATTGATTCGAGAATAATTTTTCAGTAACAAGCGCGTCGCGAAAGAGAGAAAGAGAGATATTTATCATTTATTGGAATTTCCATACTTTCGAATATTGTGCATAATTAAATTTTGAGAAACGCAATTTTGTCTATTAAAATAAAATCTATTTCGCATTAATTGAAAAGTTTCGTCTTCTGTCATGAAACTTGTTGCCTTGCGCAACGCTAACGTTACCTATTTTCAATATTAATTGCACGAAAATTAGCTTACCTTGATATATGTATTTTTTCAATTCGGTGTAACGGTCTAACACGAGAAAGATACACAAGTTGTTTCACAACACCCTGTACATTTCACACGGAGTGTTGTTGATTGAGGCGCAAACGAACGCTGAATTACGGAATAATTATAACACGACCGGTGTGCCTCGAAAAGAGAAGATAAGTTTCCGAAGGAAACACAAAATATTCGTAAAAGATAATATTAGCGAATAACAGAGCAATTAGGACCGTTGGCAGCATAACATTTATAATATAATGTAGATTTGATTAATATCGATTGGCTAACGTGCTTTGTCATCGTATTAGATTTAGTTACAACAATATAATCGAGATAATAAATCTATCTAATATTAGAATATAAATGTGTCATATTCGTTATCAATCAAATGTTTTCGAATTAAAATTAAAAATTTTTCAATTTATCATCAAAATGTCTTTGATACATGAATGATTCACAATCAATATGAGTAAAAACGTAAAGACTTTTTTCACTCGTTTTTGCATTCGTTATTATCTCTATTGTAAATGTTAAAACACAGTCTTAAACGCGAAGCAAGGAAGAAATTACGTGTAGAATAAAATTTCAGATTCTGAAATTAAAAATTTTGATCTATATGAAATTTTACAAGCATTGTAGTAAAACGACATAGATTAATTTATGTTACAAGATATTCTCTTTTCATCCTTGGAGGTTCCACCCTTTGTATTAATTATGACAGACAATTTTTGCAGACTTTAACTTACAATTAGTCTCGATTTGAAACTTTAATTTAACCTTGATTTAAAATATGAAATTGTGTAATATATTTTTAATTTACATTAACAATTTAAAATCCTAACATAACGAAAGTTCAAGTTTTATTATAATAAAATTTGTACTAAAAGTTTTTATCATTTCAGTCTTGGAGCTTGTATTAATTATAACAGAAAATTTTTAGCTGCCACTATTAACTTTAATTCAATTTTTTTTAAATAGAAAGTTATAATATAGTTTTAATTTAGGTTAATAACTTAAAATTCCATAACGTAACGAAAGTTCAAGTTTTACCACAATAAAGTTTGCGCTAAAATTTTTTATGTAGAAATTTTATTAAACGAAACTCCAAGATACTATACTCTTTTTCTAAACGATGAAACTTTCGGCGAGTCTTATTTTGTCTGGACTTTAACGATATCGATTTGCTACATCACCGGAACTTTAATTCTGTTCACAGCCACGTCAGCGGTGATCGTGAAATCGGAGAACGAGCACCATCATATAGCGAGTCTCTCCGGGGATAACATTCTAGGGTCGGGGGTGAGAATAGGACGCGGCGAGGACGCAGTCGCGAGTGGTAGCATCAGCCCCGTTATGGATTCGGCGCAATCGGCCATGATGAAGCAAGCGGACTACGTCGTAGGTCAGTGAACTGAATTCGCAATTTTTTTTCGCCTACGAAAACAACAATTTCTCCGATTCGACAGTAAAACAATCCGATAGCGATTGAATAATCGGATAATCACAGATTGTTATCGCATTACTTGTGTTATCTGTGTTATCAAAGCGACACGAGTGTTTCGTAAATTTGTGACCTGCACGAGACTTAGATTGTTCGCACGTGAAATGGAGGCCTCATCGGTTTTATCCTCATAATTTTTGGTGATGTAATTGCGAGGAAACTGATCACGTAAAAAATACAATTTAATAATTCAATTTAATAAATGTAATTCGTTCAAAGAACAATGACGCGAAGAGATATTAAAATCCAAACTTGAATATATAATATAATAAAATACGTGACATATTTATGAGAAATAAAAATTTTTTGAGTTAGAAATAATATAATAAAAGGTCATTTTAAATAGAAATTCTGTCCACATATTTTGACTTGATAATTTCACAGTAATAATTAATTTTCATTTTCACTGAAAGTTATATTTTATAAACAATTAACGTTCACAAATTGTACAATAAAAATTTTTAATGAAACATTAAATATGCTTTACATACGAAAAAAATTTTGAAGAAAATCTTCCTTTTTGCATTTTATTGAAGCAATATTAAATTCAAAAGATTCTGGATTAAAATTTTTATTTATAATTTTGATCTTAGTCAAACATATTTTACTATATGTCAACCATTAAGAAAATTTAAAACATATACATATAAAATATCTTTTTTCAAATAAATATGATACATAATTAGTTTTACCATTTTTTCATTCAGAAATCAGACTTAAATTATAGATGGAGAAGATAAAATATATGTTTGCATTTAATCATTCTTTTCATGTTTCTTTTCCTGAAGTGTTTAAGGAAAATAATTCTTAACGATGAGAGTGCATCATCCAAAAATAATTCATAATTAATTAATGTGAAAATTGAGCAAAGGTAAAAGTTTATTATGAATGTGACATTTACGTAATTTTGCATGAAAATCGATCTTTTTTGTACATTTTTGCATCAGTTATTTGCACATTAATATTAAATTGCCTTTCAAATATTAAATAGTTAATTTATATTAACAGCTGCATCATCCAAAAATAATTCAATTGATTAATGTGAAAATTGAGCAAAGGTAAAAGTTTATTATAAATGTGACATTTACGTAATTTTGCATGAAAATCGATCTTCTTTTTTGTACATTTTTGCATCAATTATTTACACATTAATATTAAATTGCCTTTTAAATATTACATAGTTAATTTATATTAACTGATGTAGAATTGTTTGAAAATCGGATTTATGGAGTAATTTAAATTATCAAATATATATTATAACATCTACATGTATATTATATAAAAATATGCTCTATCGAATATTCCAGCATATACATAATCAAAATAAGTATATTACAAACAATAAAATATAATTTCTTAAACACAGTATGTTTCAAAACCAAAAATATTAACTATGTATCGGCAAATATATTTTTTCTTCTCACAAGAATTTAATTCGAAATTTCTGAAAAATGTATATTCGACATTGAATATGTTAAATTGTATTTTTTTTTTTTTGCAACAAGTACTGATTCACGATCGGAATCGCTTAACATATCGTTTGACTGATTGTAAGACGTAAATGCTGACCGGTAACGACCACGTGATAAAAATATCGAATTATAAACGAACAGACAGGAAGGCTTGTGTAGAAAGAAACCTCAGTCACTCGCCGTAGCGTCCAAAGTTCAGTATGCCACGGTTGATGACGCTCAGCGAAAGAGATGACGTGAGATCATAAGGCGGATGATGGGGGTCTGCCGCACGATTAGTATAAATTTTGCTGTCAGTATGAATTTTTCATGCTCTCGCGATATGTGTTTTTACTGTCATGTTAGTATAATTTTGTTATTATATTGCCAATTAAATATTAGAGATTATTTTTAATATAAGATTTATTATTTCAAAACGGTTAGATAATTTAATGCAATTTACACATGTGTGTGACTGACATTTATATTAAAACATTATTTTAATATGTTACAAATTAAATATTATGGCAAAATCAATTTTTTCTTGAATAAAATTTTCCCTTTAGAATTTTTTGAAATGATATTTCTATCGATGTTACAATCAATTAATTAATCCATACGTATATTCAAATATTAAAAATTAATTCAGATATGTTATGACAAAATCTTTTTTTTTTAATAAAATTTTTTTTACAATTTTTTAAAATAATATTTTTACAACAATATAATCGAGATAATAAATCTATCTAATATTAGAATATAAATGTATCATATTCGTTACCTATCAAATGTTTTCGAAATAAAATTAAAAAATTTTCAATTTATCATCAAAATGTCTTTCATATATGAATGATTCACAATCAATATGAGTGATTTATTTTTACTTTATCATCAGTATATAAATATATATTGAAAAACAACCAATAAATATTAACTTTTTATACTGGTTTACTCGTGCGATCATTAGACAATCAATAATTTTATTAGTGCATAGTACACTGGCAGAGCAATTCGTGATGTGAGAGGTTCTGAACGCGCGCGATCAAAGTGTATCACTAAATCGAATCAACACGATGACACAGCACGTTAGCCAATCGATATTAATCAAATCTGCATTACATTACAGATGTTGTGCTGCCAACGGTCCTAATTGCTCTGCTATTCGTCGGCAATGCGATCATCGTTTATATCATCTTCCAGTTTAGAAAGAGGTAAGTGAACTCATTCATCGTATTTCATTGAAGTATTTGCTAAATATAGAAAATAGGAAGCGCGGATATGAATTCTTTGACACAAACTAAACTCGAATCATTTTACACGAAATGTTTGATCGATCAGTGATATAATTAAATGTGACAAAATTTTTATTCGTTAAGTTATTCCCGTTATTTGAATATTTTATTTTTAAATATGATAAAAATTGTAGAAAAGAATTCAGATATCAAATTCAGTTTATAAAATATTAAATAACAACAGGAAATTTTACTATCGCATTTGTTGTTAAAACCTGAATTTGTATATACCTACTAAAAATTATTTCGATCCTTTGTTTTTAATCTCTTTCATTCTTTGTGTGATTATTTTTACATGTATATTCAATATAGTATTTTATATTTAATAACCTTCACCAATTTTCATTATCTCAAGAGAATAAAATAAAAAATAATTTCAACTTCACCGGTACGATGCGCAGCAACGGTGTTGTAATAATCTGTAAAATAGAATGCGTTTAAATTGCAACAGTGCTTCAAAATAATTAATATTTAAAGAATAATTATAACACGCTTCCAACATTTTATTTTCGATTTCTGCAAGCAGATATTATTTAGCAAAATAATATGTAATTTTCCCATAAATATAAAAATGTTTTTGTATAAATTAAAAAAAAACGATCATTTAATTTGTGATGTAAATAATCTGAATAATTATAAATCTCAAAAATGTTGAAAGTGCAAATATTGAATTCTTATTTATTATTTTATTTTTATTTTATTAAATAATCTCTTAAATTGTATTCTCTAAATTGTATTTTTAATATCTCAACCTATAGAATATTTTATATGTATTATATGATAAACTGACGCTTTATCTCAGGTCTTTCCAAATCTCGGTGCGCCAGCTGAAACGCTACCACCTCTCCCTTTTCTCGATCGAGCGAGACAGAAAGTAAATAAACAAGGATAGGCGCTAGAGTTTTTGCTTGAGCTCGTAGTTCTAGCGTCTCCTTGTTTGTCCAGTTTGTTTACTCTCTGTATCGCTCGCTCGAGACGATGGAGAGCCGGGAGAGGAGGAG